TAAACCCTTAAACATGTACTGTCTCGCCTCAGATGAGTGCTCATCTACGTCTGAACGCCTGTACATTGAATCAGCTTTTTCCTGTAGCACAAGCAGAGGAAAAAACACACAGCAAAACACAAATTGGGAGGTTATTCTCTCTCTCTCTCTCTCTCTCTCTCTCTATATATATATATATATATATGTGGTTGCTAAAAAGTATTTGCATATTTAAGTGTGTTACACAATGACATATAATATTGCTCACCTGAATGATTTGTTGTTTTCCTCTGACTTATTGTCTGTCACTCTGTCAACTTTTACACCTATGGAAGAATATTCACCATTACATCAATCCTACTTGCAAATCAGTTAATGCAGTTTATTTTTTTAAATGTCATGCTTTAAAATTACCTTGCACATATCTCTTTGTATTTTCTGAAAAGCTAATTTAATAAGCTAATATTTACAATAGTCTCATACTATTTAGAATCATTCTAAAATATTGTACCATAGATTTTTTTTTTACATAGTCAATATCTTACATTCACACATAAAATTATAAAAAGAGTTTTCTCTCGCTTTGATTTTTTTATGTCATTCCCTAGCTGGTCATTCTCTGGGGTGGAATCTTTCGGGACTCATGTCCATGGACGTTATTCTGTCAGACCAGGCCCACAGAGATTAAAATTAATTATCACAACCAACTCTTTTCACAGGTTATGAAGAAATAAACAATCAGCTCCAGACATGTTTCAGTGGTTCATTAAATACTTCTTGACTTCCTTTAAGTAATTATAGTTCAAATAAATATTTTCCATAATCATTTCCATAAAAAATACTTATTAAATTATACATAACAAATGCTTCATAAAAGTGTTCTTTTATGCTTGATTTATCTGCCCTTTCTATTCATTTAATCGCAGATTAAGTTGCAGATGCTCAACACACAATCATCTTCATTAGTAGTAAGACTAACTTATCTTTCCAGTGTTGATGCCGCTCTCTTTCTTGTTGCGGTCTTTGATCTTGTAATTAGCTGATGATGAATAAAATGCAGCGCATATCTATAGATTTCATTGACGTGAACCCTGTTAAATTTGTATAGCACGGGAACTGAAGATTTTGTGGAGACACATTTATGTGGCAAAGCGTAAATGGAACCGTTTTAACAAATCAGATAGCTATCTGATCAGAGAAAACACATTAAGTGACCAGGTCTAAACAGGCCCATAGTCAGATGGATCCGGTCCGTATCCAGACCAGATGGTGGACCTGCACCCTGAGACGACCACAACGCAGTCCTGAATGTCAGCGAAGACCACAACAACTTGACAGCCATTTGGCACAGATTCTCAGCAAAGACCACAAGAAACAGACAAGTCCTCTGCACAGACCCATATGGCCAGCAATGAACGTGTCAGACCAGGAGCTACTAGGACCACAATGCAGTTTTATCATGCTTACAGTCACTCTTAAGCCAGTTGTCCACTACTGGATAAACGGCAGCCCTGCTGGACAGACTACACTTCTCCTCCCACCAACGTATCCTGATGTTCAAGCAGGAGGAGCTGGATGAAATATTCTGAATGACAGCAGTCCACAATCGGACTAGTTACGCAGCCTGAAATCATAAACACACCACTGAGCTGAGCTAACTATACCTGGGCCCGTATGTATAAAACTTCTCAGAAATGCTCTTAAGAATAGTCTTAAGCTTTGACTTAAGTGTCAAAAAATTCTTAGTAAAAAGTAGGACTTGTCTAAGAGTAGGAGACCTTTATAAAGAAGCTAAAAGCAACTTTCAGTAAAGTCTAAGACTGATTCTTAAGTGTTGACTGAGGTGACACTTAAGTGTTGTGAACTAAAGACTACAATGATGTCAACTCAAAATGGCTGCCCTCGACCTCTGAAACAGCCAATAGTGAGCCTGCTCATGTGAAGTCACAGCAGCAAAACACCAATCATTTAATGTAACCATAAAAAATCATTTAATTAAGACACTGAAATATTTTAATATTTAAATGTATTTTTAAAAAATGCTTTGCATTGTGAAAAAAAAAAAAAGACTTTTTGATCTTTACAAGTTTGTATCGTTTTATCAACTCCATATTATCATATAAGTCCAATATATTTTC